CCACGCTAAGCTTGCACCTCAAAATTATGCCATGAAACTGAAATTTTGCAATGGTATAGTGGGATTGGGGTTTCAGCTGCAAGCCCTGCTTAGAGTTAACTAAAACCCGTCCGAGGTTCAGAAATCCATCCAATGACAAATGCTCGGAAAAATGTACTTGACCAAAACCCGTGAGTCAGGGGAATCACTTAATGTGTCCTCTAGGGGCTCTCCCCACCACCCTTAATGGTGACTTGAGCCCCCCCCCCCCCCCCCACACACACACCTTACCAATATTCCTTTCAGCCCCCTCAATGCATGTGGGCAAATGAGTGCTAGGCAAAATAATTACAGAGCAATTATCTTAGCTACTGGCACACAACATAGTAGGTATCTAAACACACCGCTCATAGCATCATGTCAGTTTTGTACCAAATAGTACCCTTTAGATGCCTAACGTTTGTGTCATGCGAGCTTGTATACAGTTACTGGTGACAAGCATCTAGCCGGTCTGCAGATGTTTGACAGGTTTGTTCCAAATGATGACGTCTGGATTGGGATAAAGCACAATTGACTGCAGTGGTTGACAGCTATTAACCGTGCGGAGTGGTCTAAATAAAGGTTAACGTATGCTTTCCCCAACAGCGATAGGTGTATTTGCCGCACAAGCGTTCCTATGGTAGTTATACAGTACGATCAGCGACGGCAATAGCCACCAGTGACCCCCTAATAAGATTTGACAAAGTTTTTTTTCTGAATTGCACACTTGTCTAAGCTCTTTACAAAAAGGCAGCGAACATCAACTTGAAGTGGGAAATCATTATTCCGCATGAAAACAGCTTTGAAACTGGGAAGTGTTTAAAAAGTTCGTTTTTCCTCAATTTCATCAATGAGGACGTCAAGTTAAGTGGTCGAAACCTGAGGAGAAATCAGGTTTTGAGTAAGGTTAGGTCACCTTTTAGCTGAGTCCACCAAGCAGTCTTAGAAATTGACCTCCCTGCCTTGCGTTCATAAGTATGTGTCGAACGAGGCGATCTATGATGTCCATTTGACATAAATGAGTCAATGCAACCGACATCTTAATAAATCCGCGACTTTTAAACATAGCTGAAAAGTTGTTGTCTGGAAGGGAAAGACCGAAAAGACACAGAAACTAAAAAACACTGAGACGAAGTGACCTGGCCGTGGTCTGATGTGCCCTTGACACGACCTGCCTTTGGCCCCTGACCTTTGTTAATATGGCACCACTCTGAAGCGGAAGAACAAGGCCTGTAAGGTACAGGGTAAACAAGGTAATTCCGGCGTTAAGTCTCGGCAGCAGTTACTATGTGAGCTAGAGGGCCCTGAAGGCGTTCAAGCTCTGTCGGTTATTGGTGATTTCGTTTTAACCGCGCCGTCAGCAGCTGTTTTGCGGATCTCAACCCCACGATTCCTGGGAAACGTTGGTCAAGACTGGCTGACGAACGCTGCCCATTTGTTTCCGTAAATGCGATCTGCAACTTCCCCTCCCCGGTGTGTCTTGGCCAAGTTTAGAGCGTCGCACCCCGTCCGCCCCGTCTGTCATTAAAGTCTGACTGCATGACCTGTCTCACAGCCCGACTAAAATGGAGGCTAGTTGATTCGTGCCAAGACAATAGTTATATCAAACAATACTCTGATATACGATAATACCGTATGCTAGCAATACAACACAAAATATCACAATATTGTATTGAAATGCATAATAATAAGATATTTTAATATATGACATGATCAAAATAGTAATGATGCAAGCAGATTCCTCATTATCGGAGACAACACGCGGATACGGAGCGGCACACGGAGTGCCTGAATGCCCTCGGTTCGCTTATCAGGGATGAGCTTTGGGTCTCGTTTTTAGGAGGCAGCATTTCGCATTGCGTTTCATGGATGATCGACTAGAGGTAAGCATGATGTACACCTAAATTTAGTCGACAACGACGCATGGCGCCTCCACCGGCCGGGCATAAGAGAAATAGACAAACCAAAGCAACATCAAGCAAAAGCAAAGCCAATGTTACAGTTGTAGGGCAGCTCCGCAATGGAACGCAGGTCCCCGGAAGTTCACAGAGTAGGAAGCCAGTTGTGTCGTCTAAATCACGTTACCACAGCCAGTGAATTACTATGCTAAACACAAGCAGAAAATCGCATTTCATGACGCACAACTATGTAAACGAAACTGAACTAACTAAACCAAACTCATTGAACAATGTTTTGATTACTCTGGTGACAGCAGTCATGTTGTCACGTTGGGGGAATAGGAACAACAAGGCTATACCTGCTGAACTCGATGGGCGACTCGTTGCCCAGCCCGGAGTCGGAATTGTCGTACTGCTGCTCGGTGGTCCGCGTCACTTGACCTCGGGTCACGGTCACGGCGGCAGAGGCGGGCTCGCCCGGCACGGTCCTGGCAACACGCCACAACCTTCAGATAACTAGCGTGTAATGACTACTGGAAAGCGGGGGCAGGGGCCGCGGCCGTAAACTGGCCTCCATGACAGCATGCTTCGTTTGTGATGGAGGGCAACGCCTGACAGAAGACCCCCAAGCTTACTCTCATATCGCATCCCTCCGATGAATGCGACTGGCCGCTCTGGGTGTGTTTGAAGGATGTCTACTCAACAGCGCAAACTCCAAACACCGAAATTGGATGGTTTGTTTTTCGTTTAAATAGTCGTAGATTGATGGACGCATCCCAGGGGCATTGATGATTTTCTTAAGGGTGCTGGTAGTATAACCAGCGCTAATAAGAAAAGAACCGAGTGGGGCGTCTAAGGCCCTAAAGTAAAAACTACGAGTCAAAGGGAGCGGGGGCGACCTCCAGCCCCTTCCACCCGGCTGCGCTGTTGAACGAATCGGTACCAGAAAGCGATTATGATTCGTTGTTCTCTGACAACAGGGTAGGCTGAGTAACTGTACGATTCGGCGTTTCATTGGAAAGGCAATAGAAGCCTAGCGAATGAAATCTTATTGAAATCCTTACTTAAATATATTTAACGATTTGGGGCATCAATATGCCTTCAAACAGGTTAAGAGATGTTTAGCTCAACGTACACACATCGGAAACGGGTCCGGCATATGAACCATCGGGTAGGCGCTTGCGGTGCTATGGTGCGTTATGGTGCGTAGTGCACGTGCGTAGTGCACGTAGTAATAGCACGGTGTTCTGGGACTGTTCCACCACTGCTGTCAAATGACACTTCCAAAACGCTTCCAAGCCACGCCAGAAATCGCCTCGTACCTATGTTACCTAGCTGTCACCCCAGCCGACACAAGACAGCGGGCATCCCTCACTTCCCGGCCCAGGGAGCGCACCCTCTCCCTCCTCCCTACCGAGGGAGCGCGCTCCCTCCCTCCCCCTACCGAGGAAGCGCCGTCTGCCTCCTCCGGCCGTGCCCACCTGTCCAGGGCGGCGGGCGTCGTGGCCGGCCGCGCCCTATCTGAGGGCACGCTCCGCACGTAGTAGCTGGAGAGCGTGTTGCCGGTGGTGGGCCGCGGCGGCGCCGGAGGCGGGTAGGCGGCCGTCGGCGCGATGGCACCCTCAGGAGGCAGTCGCTCCGAGACAGAGGCCGCGGCTGGCTGGTCGGCGCCACCGTCCCACTTTTGGTCAGTCGTCGAGTCGCTGGAAGCCCAAACAATGCAGATGCGGAAGGTCACGGAAGGTCACGAATAAAATAAATGCAGTGTTGCATTGACCATGTAGTTGTGCACAATAACGCCAAAATCGTCCTCACATCTTGCACAATTTACAATTAGCCACGAGACATGGCCAGCCAATTTACCACCTTGCCATTTTGCACACTGTTCCGACTCCTATCTCCATATCCTTCATTCCCCTGGCGGCAGTATCTGACCCTGTGCCCGCCGCTCACCTCTGGCTGAAGCACCCTCACCATCTGCATCTGGCAAGGGGTGGGGTGGATGGGGTGCATCTGGCAAGCACCCCATCCCCACTACTCCCCCCCCCCCCCTTGTTGGCATTGTAATTTGATCCTGCCCACGCTTATTTCTTCCGGCTGTGTTATCTGTTCCTGTCTCCACCACCCACCTCCTCTAGCAGCGGCATCTGCTCCTGTCTCCGCCACTCACCTCTTCTGGCTGTGGCATCTATTCCTGTCTCCGCCACTCACCTCCTCTGGCTGTGACATCTACTCCTGTCTCCGCCACTCACCTCCTCTGGCTGCGGCATTTATTCCTGTCTCCGCCACCCACCTCCTCTGGCTGCAGCATCTATTCCTGTCTCCGCCACCCACCTCCTCTGGCTGCAGCATCTACTCCTGTCTTCGCCACTCACCTCCTCTGGCTGTGGCATCTATTCCTGTCTCCGCCACCCACCTCCTCTGGCTGCAGCATCTATTCCTGTCTCCGCCACTCACCTCCTCTGGCTGCGCTTGGCGGCGTACCGGATCCTGGGCATGCGCAGTTCGGTGGTGACCTTGGTGTAGGGAATGTCGCCAACATTGTCGGCCGTCGGGTCCACCAGGCCGAACTGCAGGTGGCGTCGTAGCTCGGCCGGCAGGCGGCGGTTACGACCCGTCTCCGGCGAGCGGGACCGGGACCGGGACCGGCTGCCGGCGTCACACGGACACGTCACAGCAGCACTGCACGGGACCGGGACCAGCTGCCGGCGTCACACGGATACGTCACAGCAGCACTGCACGGGACCGGGGCCAGCTGCCGGCGTCACACGGACACGTCACAGCAGCACTGTACGGGACCGGGACCGGCTGCCGGCGTCACACGGACACGTCACAGCAGCACTGCACGGGACCGGGACCAGCTGCCGGGGCCAGCTGCCGGCGTCACACGGACACGTCACAGCAGCACTGTACGGGACCGGGACCGGGGGCCGACGTCACATAGACACGTCACAGCAACACTACACGGGACCGGGACCGGCTGCCGGCGTCACATAGACACGTCACAGCAGCACTGTACGGGACCGGGACCGGCTGCCGGCGTCACATAGACACGTCGCAGCAGCATTGTACGGGACCGGGGCCAGCTGCCGGCGTCACACGGACACGTCACAGCAGCACTGTACGGGACCGGGACCGGGGGCCGACGTCACATAGACACGTCACAGCAACACTACACGGGATCGGGACCGGGACCGGCTGCCGACGTCACACAGATACGTCACAGCAACACTACGCGGGATCGGGACCGGGACCGGCTGCCGACGTCACACACACATTACAGCAGCACTGGGAGTATCCACCAGCGCTCCCCTAGATAAGCTGTTTAGTACAAAACGGAGCAGAAAGTACTTATGATACGACGCTGCAGACGGGGAGAGGGGGGAGGGTTTCCATAGAAAAAAACGTTCCGGCTTTCAACAGTCCAGCGTAAAGACAGCCAATAATGAACGCAACCAGCTCACCCTCCGATATCCACCTAAGAGCGGTCCTCACATATTGCTGGCTTGGGGGGAGCTCAGCGCGTGACGCGGCGCTCTCACCTGTGCTTCTTGACCCTCCTCTTGGGCTGGTAAGAGAGCTCGGTCTCGGTCTCCATGCCGGAGTTCTGGTAGCCGGACGGCCGCAGTCTCTCGGCCTGCAGTCTCTGCACCTCCCGCCACTGCGGCTCCGAGTCCACCAGCTCGCAGTTCGACTGCTGGTGTCTGAGACGGACACACACAAACGGTCAGGCCCGCTGTCGTTCGGAGCCGCATGGTGTATCGGCTCAGAGGCCACCGGCCTGCTGTTAGACCGCTGGTGTCTGAGACGGATACACGCAAGCGGTCAGGCCCGCTGTCGTTCGGAGCCGCAGGGTATCTCGGCTCAGATGCCACCGGCCTGCTGTTGGACTGCTGGTGATTGTTAGCCACGGTGACCGGCGGACCCTAGCGATGCCGCTACCTTCCCTCCCTTCGCTGCACCTCGCTGGCCTGTGCTGACCTGTGCCGGCGGCTGACACAGGCCCCTCCGCCGCACCCCGCTCTCCCGTGCTGTGCCGGCGGGTGACGTAGTCCTCCTCCGCTACACCCCGCTGACCCGTGCTGACCTGCGCCGGCGGGTGGCACAGTCCTCCTCTGCTACACCCCGCTGACCCGTGCTGACCTGCGCCGGCGGGTGGCACAGTCCTCCTCTGCTACACCACGCTGACCCGTGCTGACCTGCGCCGGCGGGTGGCACAGCCCTCCTCCGCTACACCCCGCTGACCCGTGCTGGCCTGTGCCGGCGGGCGGCACAGTCCTCCTCCGCCACATCCCGCTGACCCGTGCTGTGCCGGCAGGTGACACAGTCCTCCGCTACACCCAGCTGACCCGTGCCGACTTCTGCCGGCGGCTGCGGTGTCGGCGGCTAACACAGGCCCCTCCGCTACACCCAGCTGACCCGTGCCGACTTGTGCCGGCGGCTGCGGTGTCGGCGGCTAACACAGGCCCCTCCGCTACACCCCGCTGACCCGTGCTGACACGTGTCTGCGGCTGCGGTGTCGGCGGCTGACACAGGCCACTCCGCTACATCCCGCTGACCCGTGCTGACACGTGTCTGCGGCTGCGGTGTCGGCGGCTGACACAGGCCCCTCCGCTACATCCCGCTGGACCCGTGCTGACCTGTGTCTGCGTCTGGCGGCTGCCGGCTGCCTAACACAGGCCCCTCCGGCCTAACACAGGCCCCTCCGCTACACCCCGCCGACCCGTGCTGACCTGTGTCTGCGGCTGCGGTGCCGGCGGCTGCCGCCGCTCCTGTCCGAGTCGGAGCCGGACTCGGCCCGGCGGCCTCGATAGCGCCGGCTGGAGCGCAGTGAGCTTTGGCCGGAGCTGGCATCGCTGGCCACACTCGACTCCCGCCGGTGACGGCTCCTGCCACGGTCGACGGTCAGCCAACATCAAACAGAGAACAGCACACAACACTTAACGCTGCGCGTTTTAATGGATGGGCAACGCAACCAAAATGAGCAACATAGGAATGCAGAATTACACAACTTTCCATAATCATAAAGCGCATTCACCGATTTGCACTACAACACGAGTCATCGGATAGCTGACGTGTGTTTATATAGGAAAAGTTTCATACCCGATTAATGCAGGAATGATGTCGTGCAACACACAGTCGTATTGCTTAGTTCAGCAATGCTTTGTTGGTATTGGTTATGTTCAACAATCATTTTCAGGACAATAACTTGGCTTTAATTGGCTGGATACATGTGATGCCGACGCCTGCGCAGCTGTCAAGGTCACCATCGTGAACACACTGTCCCTCCCCGCAGGCCTCTGGTCAAAGCGTCTGGCCCACGCAGTCTGTCCACAGCCGGCAGACAGCCTGTCTACAGTCAGCAGATAGACCGTCGACGGTGAGCCCTGACCTGCCCTCCGTCCTGCGCGTCCTGGCCTGCACTGCGTCCCGTGCGCCCTGACCTGAGCCGCGTCCTGTGCGGCCCGACCTGCGCCGTGTCCTGTGCGCCCTGACCTGTGCTGCGTCCTGTGCGGCCCGACCTGCGCCGTGTTCTGTGCGTTCTGACCTGCGCTGTGTCCTGTGCGCTCTGACCTGCGCCGCGTCCTGTGCGCTCTGACCTGCGCTGTGTCCTGCTGTCCGCCGACGACTGGCTGTCGATGCTGGCGCGGCTGCGCGCCTTGGTCAGCTGGCCGGCGCTGAACAGGCCAGACAGCCGGCTGGCGGAGCCGGCGGCTGAGTGTGCCGAGCGCGGCGAGTCCGGCGGCGTCTTCGACTGCAGGTGCACCGAGCTGGCGCGGTACAGCGCCGACGCGCTGAAGGCGGAGAGCCGGAGCTTGCGGACACTCGGTTCGGACGCGTCACAGAGTTACCAGACTGGTTGGAGCATGTGCCAAGTGGGGTGGTTCTAAAATAACTTTTCTGTTTCTATCAGGAATATTTTAGTTTTACTATTTCTGTTAGGACGTAAAAGGAGCATTCTATTTCTGCGGGCAACCAACACAACTGATTAAATTTTGAATAACACGGGTAAGGAAAATTGGAAAAGCTGGTGTTGTTGGGATTGAGTCAACATGCACCAAACATTCCAACAATTACAAATTAGAGAAGTAACTGAGACGCATGACACCACATCCAGCATTGAAAGTGATGCATGAAACACACGTGCACGACACAAGTGTTTCAGATTTCCGAGCATAGCCGCGCTTAGGCAGCTGCCGGTCAAAAGATAATGAGACGAAAGTATGGACACCCAAAATCACACACCAATCCTGAGCTAGATACGGAATATCACAACTGACCTCTGCACAGGCTGCGGCACTGACACCTTCTTGTGGCAAATGGAAGGAGTGTCAGCATCACTATCGGATCGTGGAAGTGCTGCAAGGAGAGACATATATGAGTATCTTAAGGGCTTCGTATTTCCCGGAAGCGGAGGCGAACGGGCCCACGCGGGTGCCAGCGGACGCCAATTAGCCCAGGCGTGCAAATATTACAACTCTACGAGCAGCTAGCGTCGTGTGAGTTATCGAAACCATATGACTGAGGTGTAGACAAGCTGAAAAGTAATTTGCCGAGCTACCCCAAGCATAGAGGTAGTTGAAATCTGCGCATTTCCTCGTGACTCATTCCACGGGCGGCGTAGACCCACCTTGCTGTGTATTTGGGGGCGGCTGGAGCCCGGCCCCAGCCCTCCTGCCCGCCTGCCGCTGATGGACCGTCGCGGACGCCTCCCTCCGGCTCTCCGATCGACCGCTGGCGACGCGCGCAGGTCACAGGTCAGGTCACAGATCAGACAGGTACACAGACAGAGACACACGCAGACGCGGGACAGCTGCTCGGGTAACACGGGAGCGCTGCTTTGGCGAGTGCAGGCGGCTTTACGTGATGCATGTTTCTCGATAATGGCTGCGTTGGAATTAGTCACACTTTGCATATGATTATGAAACGTGTTTCAAATTTATGAGTGCTTTGAGCGCTGACGAAAGAGGACTATAGGAATGTACTTATGCAAGGCACTTATTTTTGGGTCGTGCATTTACAGAAAAAGGAGACATGAGCGTGCAACGCTGTCTCGATACCCACCGGTTTGTAAGTCATGTCACTATGGCCGAAACGTGCCATGCAACGTCGGGGGGGGGGGGGGGCTCGTGCTCTCTCTGCCTTCCATCTAGGTTTGCGTGCATTGGCCATAAACTAGCTACATTACGGGCCAAATGTGTGCAGGCATGCTATAGATACACTACGCATGTATATATATATATATATATATATATATATATATATACGATATAAACTGATTTATGTAGGCAACAAATTACGTTCTACGCAAGCGTTGTTAAGGGCCTTAACGTAGGCACATTTGATAAGCTTTTTGCGCGCTCGCTTTATTGTTCTTATTGTGGTTGTCTGTTTATCATTGAGACTCAAATGGGACTCGCTGACGTTTGGCATCTATTAATTGGCCTAACGTTTCGAAATTGTTACGCATTCCACTGCCAATGGGGCACCATGCAACGTACAAGCGACGGATATATGATTACGTACTTATGTTAGATTAAGGGATCACGATTAGGCATATTCATGTCCAGTTCTATCACCAATTTGTACAGAGTCTAAATGAGGGGTTAATATGTTTCGGAGCATAATAATTCAAACGTCAAAACACGTGCTGAAATGTAAAATATGTCGTCGCTTCTACCATACGACAGACTTTTACACCACCACACTTTCAAGGTAGTTGACGATGCACTTGGTTGACGTGCCGCAAAAGAAGCACATGAAAAAGAAGACGACTGGAGCAACACCCGAGACGACTCACCAGAAACGCCAGCATCATGGTGTATACATATATGCATATATATATATATATATATATATAGACATATATAAAAAATATGTGCGTGAGTGCGTGCGTGCGTGCGTGCGTGCGTGCGTGCGTGTTTGTGTGTGCACGGCGCCCTGGTGACGTACCCGTGCGACGTGGCGGCCCCGGCCGGGGGGCCGGCGCGTGCCTGTCGGAAGAAATCACGCTGCTCAACACAGTGCTGCAGCAGGAGGCGGCAGGCGGTCCGGCTGGGCGCCTGGAACCCGAACGTGTGCTCCTCGCTCTGTGGGCGGCGCACAGCAGCTGAGCGGCGGAGCACCAAGCGAGCACATCCAGGCTGGCTCGGCGAGGGGCGACTCACTGGAGTTGAGCTGGGGGGAGGGGGGGGGGGGGGAGGCGACGCCTTGTAATCTGATGTGTTGGCGTGAGCTTTGAGTCTCTTTGTTTATCAGTGTTCTGCTAGCTCGCATGGTTATGCTTATTCAAGTGCATAGCAGAGCATCCTGGTGTTAACAAATAACCACTACAACATGGACCAGCTTAATGAGACAAAGCCAAGGGCAAAGAAAGCTAAGGGAAGGGGGTAAAAAGAGATTTACACTGATCTGTCCTGGAAAAAAATATGCCAAATCTACTTACGTCCTTGTCTCGAACCCGGAGCATGAAGTAATTCTTCTTGCAGAAGACTTTGGTTATCCTTGGCCTGTAGGGAAGAAGTGAGACCCCTTCATTCGTGAATCAATGCCAGGCACCGTGATCAGTCACGTGAGTGCATTGTCTGGCCAAGAAACGAATAAAACCGGACAGGAACTGGTGCAGCAGGCTAGCTTGCAACGCGACGCGTGACACAATGGTGCACTGCTTTACATGCTGACATGAACAGGGCGTGCATAAATGAATACACCAATCCGTACTGAATAGCGGCAGAGACCAGCAGTATGAACCTAGCAGCGTTGTTGACGCCTGCCGTCCACCAGACCGTGCACCTGCTTACCAGAAGTAGTTGCTGATCTTTCCTTTCCCCTTGAGCACTAACACACCCGATGGGGCCAGTCCGATGAAGGATTCCGTCTGCTGATCCCCCTGCAATGACAGCAAGCAGAGAATAGCGGCAGGGACCTGACACATGAGTCATGCACCTTTTACAAGACACTTGGCTGTTGATTGAAACGAAAAAACATGTGATCGTCAAACACGCTCACGTCTTACAGCAGCTGCCTGCTTATTCGTAATGCGAGGAGAGAAAGTATGTGCGCGCTACGAGATCGTAACACGCAAACACACGCGCAGTTTGAGGTGCTATTTATGCGTGGATAACAATGCATGGCACATGGCTCTCCTACGTATTTAGCGACTTTTGACGCCTATTTTTGTTCGTGTCTCGAGGAAGGGCATTCATTCACAACCGTGCTGATGGCGGCCACGTGTTTTCGCCACGAAACACCGAAAAGCACTCGTGTTTGTTTTGCCCGCACGCGACTTGCGCGGTGTGCTGTCGAACTCCGGAGACCAAGGTGACCAGTAGCTTAGCCGTAGCAGATAAGTGCGATGCCGGTACACGGCGCATGTGCGGGCGGTCTGACTTGTGGTATGTGTTCTGCGTTGTGCGTTATGTGTTATGCGTTATGCGCTATGTGTTGTGTATCCCGCCGTGTCTCCGACACATCGCCACCACCGAGTCCCGCGCGCCTGGGCCGGACCCTACTCACCAGCACGGGGTGCAGGTCTGCGCCATACATCTCCAGCCAACGCACCTTCTCGAGAAAAGCCGACTCTACGGCAGCCGGCGCCTGGCCGCTGCAGCACAGGGATGATCGCGGGTCGGGTCATGGTCACCACGGACAGCCGCGAGTCAGATCACGGTCAACACGGACGACCGCGGGTCAGGTCATGGTCAACACGGACGACCGCGGGCCAGGTCAAGGTAAATACGGGAAGTAACTACAACCTCGCATACCATGATTTTGGTCTTCCGATGGCAAAGAGACCGTGCATCGATGCCAAGCACATCTTGCAAGATTGCTTCCGTTTGAGGGAGCGCGACGCCAGTCGCCGCGCAGTGCGCGCCCTCCAGTGGAGTGCCGGTGAGTGTCACGGTCACATGAGGGAGCGCGACGCCAGTCGCCGCGCAGTGCGCGCCCTCCAGTGGAGTGCCGGTGAGTGTCACGGTCACATGAGGGAGCGCGACGCCAGTCGCCCGGCGCAGTGGCTGGCGCCCGCCAGTCGGAGTGCCGGTGAGTGTCACAGTCACATGAGGGAGCGCGACGCCAGTCGCCGCGCAGTGCGCGCCCTCCAGTGGAGTGCCGGTGAGTGTCACGGTCACATGAGCGATGGGGAACTACCGTGCACCCGGGGCCGCGGCCCACCCTCGAGCCGGAGCTCCTAACCACTCAGCCATTGTGCCCCACGTCAGCTTGGCTCGATTTCGAGTGACATGGATGCAACCAGGGGTGAGCTTGGCTCGATTTCAAGTGACATGGATGCAACCAGGGGTGAGCTTGGCTCGATTTCAAGTGACATGGATGTAACCAGGGGTGAGCTTGGCTCGATTTCAAGTGACATGGATGCAACCAGGGATGAGCTTGGCTCGATTTCAAGTGACATGGATGCGATCAGAGTTGAGCTTGGCTCGATTTCAAGTGACATGGATGCAACCAGGGGTGGATAATATTGAGACGAGTTAATGTGGCAAAGCCGTTAGCACAGGCATCTTTCAAAAGGAAAATGACAAAGTTTGAGTAAGTGATGAAGGCTGGTGTGGCGGCTGCTTCACCTGGCGTACTGCATTCTCCACACATGGGTACAACAGCTAAGGACAGACATGAATATCAGCAATTTCCGACCACGTGGGACTGTAAAAGCCAGTTGTGACACGGCTATCATCATTACGGCAGAACTCTGAAAACTGAGAAGAACCGAAGGTGCAACATAGACAAAGATAAGTTGAGACACTTTACAATACGCTGTAGGAAAAGGCGAGGATAGCTTTGAGTTATCCCGAACGTGCATCACTACCAAGGAATTCGACGCAGTACTGAAAGCACACGGAGCCGGTTGACGCAGGGGTTGAAAAGCGTACTGGTTGTCTTTGTTTGGGAGCGCCTTGCGTAATGAGTTGGAAAATGCTCACAATCCCTGGCTAGTAATGGCTTTCTCGACTTGCATCAGTGCGTCAGTGCATGTACGTGTAAAGGTCACAATCTGCATGACACCAAAGGATTGTTAGCCTATTACCGGGGGCTGGAGTGATTTCTAGATTAATTGCCGGCGTTTGCTATGTCAATTTGACGGCATAATTGGCGTAATCAGCATAATTGGCGTTATAGTAGACCATGTACAGCTCTCAACGACCAACCCAAAGAATGAGGGAGGAACACTCCTGCCTGCTTAACTGCGGGGGGGGGCGCAGTGGGTGTAGTGGGGACACTCACGTCAGGGTGCGGTGCAGGGCAGCAATGCCGCCGTCGCCGGCCGCCGGGGCCATGCCCAGCTGGAACTCTGCGCAGTAGCCAGGCTGGTGTGCGCTCGGGTCGTGGTCGCCCAGCTCGGCTGGCAACAGGCACGAGTTCACTGAGCACGAGATACAGAGCCGAGAGTGTCGGAGGCAGGGCGCCGTCACCCAGCTCGGTGTCAACGGGCACGAGCTCACTGAGCATGGGCTACAGAGCTAAGACTGCCTGAGGCAGGGCGCCGTCACCCAGCTCGTCTGTTAACGGGCACGAGTTCGCTGGAGTCGGCCAGCTTGTTCAGCTGCAGTTGACTGTCAGCATCGTTCGAGACATGACGTGTACGTTGAATTAGATGAGCTGTTGGGTGTGTGAAAGAAGGGAGATCCAAGAAGCAGGCGGAACGGCACAGAATATTCGTCGCAGCACATGGCTCCCAAATGCAAGATTGTCTCTTTTTTCTTCTGACTCACACTGGGCGACGTAAGCCCCCAGCTCCGAAGCGAGCTCCCCGCGTACAGGCAGGCGGCCATCTACGATGTCCTTCTTCACTTGCAGGAAAAACTGATACCTGCCAGCCAGACGGGTCTTAGCAGCGAACGGATGCAATTTAACGGGCTTTAAACTAGGGCTAATTGCATTGGCAGCTCTTACTGTGTGTGCCTTAAGCTAAATACGCACACACACACAAATTCACTTGTTCACATACATATCTTATTCACTATGGCAAGGTATCCATGGCGATACATTCTCATTGAACGCTATTTGCAGACAAAGTTAACAGTTAACAGCCAACAGTTAACGCACCGCGCAGCTCCTCACCCGCATCATCAGGCAAAACGAATGAACACCACAAAGCTGTTAAAGTTAACACACCACACAAACTCGACGTAACAGAAAGGCACATGCAACGTCGTACGACGACGACACATTATAAATCTCACGATAATCACAATCACTAATTGGTGTCGGGATGCCATGTTATCATCCACATATCGTCCAACACTGAATATCATGTTATGACATGTCATGTCATGTCATCTGCCACGATGTCATGTATCCTGCCTTCCAACGCTAAATAACATGGCATCGCCACACCCATTATAAATTCTGATCAGGTGAAATTGATCTATAGCCCTAGGGTGGGTCGTGTGACATTGCATGGCTTTTGAATGGCATGCGGAAGCTGCTTTCCTACGTGTAGTAAGCCATCATATTCTTCGTGCTTTTGCACGACGGTGAGTCGTGATCTGTTAAAGATGTTGCAAGAAATTTAATTAAAAAAACAAAAAAATGCCCAAAAATGCAAGCCCATATATATATATATATATATATATATATATATATATATATATATATATATATATATATATAGTGTGTGTGTATATATATATATAGTATAGTAGTGTGTGTGTGTGTGTGTGTGTGTGTGTGTGTGTGTGTGTGTGTGTGTGTGTGTGTGTGTGTGTGTGTGTGTGTGTGTGTGTGTGTGTGTGTGTGTGTGTGTGTGTGTGTGTGTGTGTGTGTGTGTGTGTGTGTGTGTGTGTGTGTGTGTGTGTGTGTGTGTGTGTGTGTGTGTGTGTGTGTGTGTGTGTGTGTGTGTGTGTGTGTGTGTGTGTGTGTGTGTGTGTGTGTGTGTGTGTGTGTGTGTGTGTGTGTGTGTGTGTGTGTGTGTGTGTGTGTGTGTGTGTGTGTGTGTGTGTGTGTGTGTGTGTGTGTGTGTGTGTGTGTGTGTGTGTGTGTGTGTGTGTGTGTGTGTGTGTGTGTGTGTGTGTGTGTGTGTGTGTGTGTGTGTGTGTGTGTGTGTGTGTGTGTGTGTGTGTGTGTGTGTGTGTGTGTGTGTGTGTGTGTGTGTGTGTGTGTGTGTGTGTGTGTGTGTGTGTGTGTGTGTGTGTGTGTGTGTGTGTGTGTGTGTGTGTGTGTGTGTGTGTGTGTGTGTGTGTGTGTGTGCAGCGCGTTGGCATCTTAGATTGATTGATTGGAATTGGGCAGCGACAGACACAACAAAAAACAGCATATAAAAGCACATGTAAGTCAGATATTACTTATATGATATATATTCATATATACGTATATATATATATATATATATATATATATATATATACTTCTTTTCATTCTTAACGTTAACTTGTCATGTGTTTCATTCTCTCAGTGTGGAACTGAATGCAGAACAAAGAAACGGCAGGCAGTGTTTTGCCATATGATGCAACGAAAAATTTTCAAGACGCCACTAACCGTGTGATCTCATCTAGAAGTTTGCACGGCTCAGTTGCATAGAACTTGACACAAAAGTAGAGAATAAATGGATCGGTTCCTGAAAAAACAGAGCACACATTATAACGCATTGTGGGAGCGGCCATTCAGCTGTCTCGGCAGACCGTGATTGTCGCTGCTGCGACCAAATCAGTACATGCTCAAGTATCATGTTGCTGCTGCGGATTTCGCGCCGTAGATGCAATAGAGTCATGTCGCTAGCGAAATATCAAATTCAGGAGAACAAGACTGTGATGACACTTAGCGCACAGTGCTCTACCGCAGAACCAGGACAAGTTGATCGAAAACCTTTGAAGCGTAATGGTGACAGCAACAAGATGCGATTCAAAGTGTGACAAGACAACGCACAGCAGAACGTAATAACGTTTGTCACAGACACGCATTGGTGCTGACCATTCGATCAAATATATCCCTGCTTTTATCGAGTCCTTGCGAATAGCTACTACACCCAATACGTACCTTTCAATTGCTTCGCAGCCTTCTTATTCGGGTTCAACCACAGCTGTGAAACAAGGCAGGTTATAAGCGCACCCTGGCAGCGGCCGGTGGGGTAGGCTGGGCCGCCGGGTCCGGGGACAGCTCCCGAGCAGCGGCAGGAGGCACCGCCGCCGGTGTTCGGAGATCGCGGACACGCGCCTCACCCTCTTCCGGATCTCAACGGGTACCACAAGTGATTATCATCGTGCATTTTGCAAAGTGTTTGAAAAAGTGTTGGGAAAGTCCCATTTGTTTTCCGTTTTAGGAAGGTGAAAATAACAATGATGGTGCTGATCTGAACGACCAAGTTTTAATTTGTTTGGTGCCAACGAAATACGCACTTTTAACCCGCCGTGAAGTCACCAGTTCTGTATATGAGCCTTATTGGCATGTGTTCATGTTGTCACTGTGACTTTACGACACACTCAGCTGCTGAGGCTATATGGCGTCGCCTGCCTCTCACCCTGGCAGGAAGGACGGGCACCGAGGGGGATTGGCATGTGCTCGCGACCTCCAAAGCTTAAAAATAGCTTGGGCTACCGAACAACCTAGGCTGTACTATCCAACGAGATATTTCGATGTTGACATTCGCAGCACTTAGGTCTTTGAATATGTAGCATTTCTACCTCCGCATTTGTTGGGGACTTTGTCAACTTCAGTACATACATACATTTTATTAAATTTAAGCCAGCTTTGAGGTATAGCTGACGTTCATTGACAAAATTAGCATAGCCCAGACATAAAAACAAGCTACCAACGGTTCACATGATTCGTTGATTGTTGGAAATATTCCAGAGCTCTACAATCTTGAATGCATGAATAAACAAGACATAATACTCACCTATAAGTATCGGACAATTAAGCACGGTGGAGGAAATTGTTTGAGTGTGACTATTTTTGTGTTGGGACAAGGGAAAACATCACCATACCTAGACAAAACGAGCAAATGCATTAAGCATAACGAAATGATATAGCGCCGCAATGTGCAAACGTGGATCCAGAGGACATTGAGTATGCGATTGAAGGTTGATAACACGTCGTAAATCAATCAAACTGAAATTAAACACACTAATCAGACATGTTTGGGCATAGTTTCGCAAAAATGGGAATAAATTTGCGAGATCTTGGCCATTAGCTTCAGCCCTGGTACCATTGACACGAACAGCTGGAACCGGCTGCCGGTGCCCCAAATGCGAGGAATGTCCTGCGGTTTCAGACAGACTGCTGGCATCTGCTGGCGTTCATTCGCTCCAGAGCAGTGTGCGTCGGTGGTAGCCTCTCGAGCAATGCGCCGCGAGTGGATCCAAGCGATACCTCCGACTGCGTTTTAGCTCGATCGCCGATCCTCGCACACAAAATAACGCCGCATGACTGAACGGTACGCATTTGCCACGTGCTCGACCCCAGTTTGGAGACCAAGTGTATGTCGTGGGGCAACGCCATGCTGTTTTGACGTCACTGTGCACGACGTCACTGTGCATGCCGCGGGCATCGGCGTGCATCTGTGGCCGTTCCGTGGTAATCCTCTTACCTCGGCTGAATTCTTCGGGCCGGTTGAGACGATCGATCTACTCGAGAACACAATGCTGTTTGGCGATCACATAATGGATTAACGAGCGTGCTGGCTACCGCCAGAGTTACCCGTTCATTGAACCGGCGAGGCTAACGGGCTGGGCCGATCTTGCGCTCGCGCGCGCGTCTCTCACCGGCCGGCCAGTCTGACCGGCCGGTGGAGGACTGGCGGGAGTCCCACTACTCGCTGGAAGGTACGCGGCGGTCTCGCAAGCCGCCCAGAGTCGTGCGCTCTCGTGAGTGGTCGTGCACGCGTGTCGCATCATCTGCGTTTGTCATGTAGCAGCGGGCTGGGCAGTCTCACTGGGCGTCCGAGAAGGTGCACCGGCTACTTCACAGTGCACCGACACGCACTGGCTGTCCTGGTGAGAGCGGTGGGGGGGGGGGAGGGCAGGGTAGACGGAGGACTGCAGCTCTCACCGGTTGTTGAGTGGTGTGCACGAATCTCAGACCGAAGTAGGCGGTTTCACGCAAGTGCAGATGTCGAAACACGCTGTCCGAAAGCTCCTGTCCCAAGGTGTCATCCTGAAAACAGACCGACTAGACTCAGGCTGCACCCTGATTCAGGGACATTGCATCTCATTACTGTCGTCGCCCGCTAGCTCCCAGACTCGGGCCAAGCCTGTGATTTTACTTGGAAGCCGTAAGCGAGCTCAAATACCATCTTGCAGAGAAACAGCTGCCGACGAGCTACTCGTAGCGGACAGGCGAGAGTCAGGTGGAGACACACGTCGTCTGGAAACCAGCCGAGGGCGAAAGGACATCTGCGCATTCGACGTTGGAGAGAACAATGGCATGCATGCATGTGTCGTCATGTCAGTATCAGCAATGCAAGTGTCAAGTCAGAGCTTATGTTATGCTGTTCATTTGTCACGAAGACAGTCAGTGTTTAGTAGAAGAGCTCGGTTCTTGCCTCCAGACGCGTCACGGGCCAGTGGTTCAGTGTTTAGTACAAGAGCTCGGTTCTTGCCTCCAGACGCGTCACGGGCCAGTGGTTCAGTGTTTAGTAGAAGAGCTCGGTTCTTGCCTCCAGACGCGTCACGGGCCAGTGGTTCAGTGTTTAGTAGAAGAGCTCGGTTCTTGCCTCCAGACAGCGTCACGGGCCACTGGTTCAGTGTTTAGTAGAAGAGCTCGGTTCTTGCCTCCAGACGCGTCACGGGCCAGTGGTTCAGTGTTTAGTAGAAGAGCTCGGCTCTTGCCTCCAGACGCGTCACGGGCCAGTGGTTCAGTGTTTAGTAGAAGAGCTCGGTTCTTGCCTCCAGACGCGTCACGGGCCAGTGGTTTGACTGAGATCGCGCGGCCCCTGAACTCCTCGGATTTACATAACCTAAAGCATACAGCTGTGTTGAACTGCATACGCGGCATAAAACATCAGGCTCAGCCAGCGGGCAGCACAGATCTGGCATTTTTATGCACATGACATGCAGCGGGCCGCTGCACGTGCACGGACTGTTTTCTTATCTGCGCACATCGGAATACCTCAGCCTGGCAATTAATCCACCGTCACTCGATGTTAAGCATTTTGGTTCCCTGATCCCTTCATCGAGATCGCCGCTCATGATGCACCGAGCCTGATGGCAGACATGCGTGCTGGCAAATGCCTATTCAAGTCGATAGCCATATGGCCCAGGAACCCAGCCTAGGGCTCCTGGGCAACCTAAGCCCAGAAGCTGCACCGCGGCCGAAGGACACCACATCTCAAAACTGGCCGCAGAATGGCGACTAAGCCCCCGGCAGAAGCGCGGTGGGTGCGGCATCCCAAACCCGTGCCAGGAGCCGGCGGCAGCGCGCCAAGGCGGCTCTGAAGCCCAGACGGCAGCCAGCGGCAGCGCGCCGGGGAGGCTCTGTAGCCCAGACGGGAGCCGGCGGCGGCGCGCCAAGGCGGCTCTGAAGCCCAGAGTGGAGCCGGCGGCGGCGCGCCAAGGCGGCTCTGTAGCCCAGACGGGAGCCGGCGGCGGCGCGCCAAGGCGGCTCTGTAGCCCAGACGAGAGCCGGCGGCGGCGCGCCAAGGCGGCTCTGTAGCCCAGACGGGAGCCGGCGGCGGCGCGCCAAGGCGGCTCTGTAGCCCAGACGGGAGCCGGCGGCGGCGCGCCAAGGCGGCTCTGTAGCCCAGACGAGAGCTGGCGGCGGCGCGCCGAGGCGGCTCTGTAGCCCAGACGGGAGCCGGCGGCGGCGCGCCAAGGCGGCTCTGTAGCCCAGACGAGAGCCGGCGGCGGCGCGCCAAGGCGGTTCTGTATCTCAGACGGGAGCCGGCGGCGGCGCGCGGGGGTGGCTCTGTATCCCAGCTGGCGGCCCGGACCCGACCGGCCCGACCGCGCTACGGGTGTCGTCAGCGCCGGCCTTTGTAAAGCAGGGCTCTTGCGGAAACAGAAGCCGCATTTTTTGAACTCCAATGTTAAAATGCCAGATTTTGCCAGATTACCTACTTTCATTGTTGCTCGCGTCTGAAGCAAAAGACAGCCTCGATGACTATCGCCGCGCATTGCACGCTTGCATTAACCAAAATGCATACAGTTCAAAGCAAGCCTTACGTCACGTGTTGAAATCGGTGCGTCAAAGGCTTTCCATGTTATTATGATCGGTGTGTAGTATGATAGATGAAATCAATATCAGTATCTCATCAGGTATCAGTGATCTTATAGCTGTCCCATTTTTATCAGACGCGGAACACTTGTTCATATTGTCATTGCCACAAATAGTTGAAATAAATAGTTGAAGGTGGCAGCATTTTGTATATATATTGCACGTCGGTATTTTTCGATGCTGAGATTTTGCGGTGTTACAAAATTGCGTTTCTATATTCAACGGTCCTAAAATTTGGCTAGTCAGTATTCTGCGAGTCCATATCTCTCTTATCGATGGCTTCCGGTTGATGTCTGCCGGTATTTAGCGTGCTCATGTTGTGCCCTAAGGGCCGGATGGCGTCGAACAGCAATGCTGAGGTCAATGGAATAGATCATGTTAAGGTCAAGGTGGCAAAAGCAGCATCCGGTGGGACTACAGCCGGGGAATATCTCGGAACTGTCATGCCTAGACTGTTACCGTACTTTGAACTACCCGCTATTACTGTCACTTGTGAAGTCACTGGAAGCGACTATAGGCTGAACTTCGTGTAGTCAGCACAACAGCATCGGCCGATGCCAAATGTAAGCGCAAAATGCCGATGCGCTTCCGCTCTTCGTTTTTTGTTTTGTTTTGTTTTGTTTTGTTTTGTTTTTTGGGTGAGTTCACTAGCACCAGCTATTGAAAGGTCGGTCCTGGGAGGGCAGAATTCCATGAAAAGATTGGCCAAAAACGATTGGAAATGGTTCCAATTTTACAAAGCTGTTATATAGTCCAGCGCCAGTGCTACTGGACGCTTGCAGTTTCAATTTCGAAGCCCACACCCAAACATGCCTAAAATCGTTTCGTGATATGGCAAACAGCGTTAAGCACCACTTCTTCGATTTAACAAGAGACAAGCAAGACTAAATGTAATAAATCTGCTCAATCCCGTAGATAAGAAGCGTCTTGACAATATTGGTCGAATATACAATTTTCACTGAGATAAACACTGAGCTAGCAAAACGCGTGGAGTCACGGAATAGAGAGCTGCCTGACCTCCAACTCCGACTGTCCTCTTATTATGCGACATTATTTGGTGGCCCGTATCCAGTTCGAATGCCACCACAATGTCAACGTGGGACCAGCCCCCTAACTTCACAAGCTGGGTACGTCTGCTGGTACCCGTGTGGAACTGGTCACGGGTCGGATTGGGTGCATATTTGAGGAAGATTGCGGCAAAAGGTACAGGTGTGGGCGAGATGTCCACTAGCGATTGCGTACGCACTATACGATATTACTGCCAGCGCTTATTTTGGTCACAATTAGCTCCACGTACACTACGTTTACAGTCATTGGCGCGAAAGAGTAAGTATGGCTGTCAACTTCCCCGCAGCTTTTCCAAAGTCAAGACCCGAACATAACTGATTAGGAATGGGCAGCGGGTAGGTATGGGCACAACCTCATGGTTGGTGGGGGGTTGTAAATAACGCAATGTTACGCATTAAGATCTTTATTGGGACCCCTGAGCGCAAAGGGAGTTTATTTGCAAGCTTCTTGCCTTCTAGCTGGCGAGCTGCTTTGCTCATATGACCCTGTGCGACAAAACAGCATGCGGTGTGCTTCTTCCCCCGTAATGTTCCTTTGTTGTTGAACGAAGCGCGACTGAGTGGCATCAAACAGTGAACCATGTCATTCAAAATCAGTGCTATCCTAAGTCATGAAACACTCTGCTCCACGGAGAACAGACAGCCTTAAAATATTACAGCCCGTTTGCAAGCTTTCTGTGATGCAATTGCAAAGGTGAACCCTTCGCTGTATAAACCCTCGTCGGCTCGGTGCCTGCCTGCTAAATTTAAGGAGCTCTGCTAAACCCATCCAAAAGCCTAGCCTGATGTCTTAATCTGTGACCTCAGCGCAGCCTTTCTCGGCGAGTGGAGTCCGCCGCCGAGGCTTACTGCCAGCGGCGGCTGCCTTTGAACGGTACCAGCCAAACCCTGTGGCTTAAGCCGGCTGGCGCCAGCTTCTCCCCAGCAGTGAGAGGTGCGTCCGGCTACCCTGCTCACCGGGCCTCCGAGCAGCCCCGCCGGCTCTGCTGACCGGGCCTCCGAGCAGCCCCGCCGGCTCTGCTGACCGGGCCTCCGAGCAGCCCCGCCGGCTCTGCTGACCGGGTCTCTGAAGCGCCTCACCGGCTCTGCTGACCGGGTCTCTGAGCAGCCCTGCCGGCTCTGCTGACCGGGCCTCCGAGCAGCCCCGCCGGCTCTGCTGACCGGGTCTCTGAAGCGCCTCACCGGCTCTGCTGACCGGGTCTCTGAGCAGCCCCGCCGGCTTGCTGACCGGGTCTCTGAAAGCCCTGCCGGCTCTGCTGACCGGGTCTCTGAGCAGCCCCGCCGGCTCTGCTGACCGGGCCTCCGAGCAGCCCCGCCGGCTCTGCTGACCGGGTCTCTGAAGAGCCCCGCCGGCTCTGCTGACCGGACCTCCGAGCAGCCCCACCGGCTCTGCTGACCGGACCTCTGAGCAGCCCCGTCGGCTCTGCTGACCGGGCCTCTGAGCAGCCCCGCCGGCTCTGCTGACCGGGCCTCTGAGCAGCCCCGCCGGCTCTGCTGACCGGGTCTCTGAACAGGCCCGCCGGCTCTGCTGACCGGGCCTCTGAGCAGCCCCGCCGGCTCTGCTGACCGGGTCTCTGAACAGGCCCGCCGGCTCTGCTGACCGGGCCCTGGACGAGCAGGTCGGCGTCGGTCGGCGGGCCAGTTCACACCGCCGAGGGGCGGACCGGCCTGCCGCTAATGGGCCCGGTCCGGTCCGGGCGGCGCGCGGCAGGGCGTCGACACGCGCCGCGCAGCCGACATTCCGCCGCCGCCGTCATCCTGCTCAGCGGCCCACGCTGTCGGACAGGCGCCGACAGCGGCGATGCCGGTGGCACGCGAGCAACCCTGGAGAGTCCAGCCGACCTGAGGAGCCCAGCTGACCTTAGGAGCCCAGCCGACCTGGGAGCCCAGCCGACCTGGGGGGGCCAAACGACCTGAGGAGCCCAGCTGACCTGGAGAAACCGGCTGGCCTGGGATATCAGCTGACCTGACGAGCCCAACCAACCTGAGGAACCCAGCTGACCTGGGGAGACCAGCTGATCTAGGGGATGAGCTGACCTGAGGAGCCCAGTCGACCTGGCGAGACCAGCCGACCTGGGGAGCTCAGGTGGGGAAGCGCTGTAAGCGAAGCTCTGCTCTTCCAACAGACATGGCTGGGAAGGCGGGCGAGCGGTGAAAGGAAGTCAGGACTGGAGTAGGTGCAGCGGAGCGGAGCCCGTGCAGCTGGACAGAAGGGACTGGGGCCGGCAGTGCCCGGGCGACAGGGCTGGTTGTAGGTGGGGCTGGGGAGGCAAGACTGGGAGGTAGAGGTGGAGGGGCAGGGCAGGGGAGACCTGGGGGAGGCGGCTGGGGAGGCGGGGCTTGCAGATGAGCTCGTTGGCAGAGCTGACGGCGGGTGAACCCGTCCGGCCGGTCGGTCGAACTGGGACAGACAGCGGTGCAGGCTGGCTTTTTGCAAGGTGACAGCTGAGACTAAAGTAACGTATCTTAATAGCAATGGAAGATTTCCCTTGCCGAATAAAAAGTAGCTGTGGTATTAACTCTGCAGCGTGTCGCAAAAAAAACACCACAAAAAATGCAGACCGCATACCAATAATGAATCACAAGTGTTCGAAACCTGATTTTGCACGGGCACAGTTGAGAGTATCGTGATAGAAAGCCCTGGATTTGATCACAGTTCGCACAGTTCGTTTTCACATTGACCGATTGCAGCTCTGATAGATCAGCTTGTGCCATGATGAAGTGGCTTATCTGCATACGAAACACGCCCACTCAATATCTGGGAACTTGTTACAAGCAATGCAAATTAGCACTATCTACGCCTCGAGTGACACTGAAGCTGCTGTGAACTCGTGCGTACCCGGAACAAGCTGCAGGTCGATGACCAGCTAATGCGTGCTAATAACATTCACAGACAGGGGGCGGCAGCTGATCACCAGCCACGCCTGGTCTGTGCCGGAGTTGCGCACCTGGCTCCGAAGAAAACACCGCTCCACTTGGCCTGCGCCCACACGCTCCGCTGTCGTCCTGACACGCGCGTGTGCATCAAGCATGCCTGCCCCTGTCACGCCTGGCGACACGTGTCGCATCAAGTCGGCGCGGACTGGAGCCCCGCATCGGCGTGCCGATGGCAGTGGCACGCCACGCGTCTGCACGTGCTGCGACATTTGGACAGGGCGCGCGTCGCGACACGGCACCGTCCGCACCGCTGGCGGCTTAATAAGCCGACGTCGAATGACGCGGTGCTGACGCACTGGCGCTGAACGCAGCACGCTGCTGGAAACTATACGCTGCTGCTGGTAGCTGCACCCCGTGCTGCAGCAGCACCGCGAGCGTGGCGAGCGGTGCTATGGACGTGAAGTACCGCGTCGCTATGGGCGTGACGTAATGGACGAAAGACTTTGGTTTGGCGGGGGGCTCACTTTGGAATACACACTGGTACGAATGACGCGGTGCTCTGGATAAAGCAACATTACTTGATGTTTCAATGTTTTGTAACATTTTGTGGCTCGTTTTCTTGCCACATTAGGTGATGAATATGAACTGCTGTATTTGGTGAATTGTTTGTCATCGATAACGTCACCAGACACGTTCATGCAATGCTTTTTTCAAACACGTCAGGGATAGGCAAAATTGCTTTTTAAGAGAAAACTCCAAAACACCATTAGATCAAAGTAGTATGTGATCCTAATAGCTTTAAAATGTTAAGAAAGCCTATCAAACTACCGTTAAAGCTGCCCTTAAACTGTGCCGTGGCGGGGCCACGTCCATCATACCTGCAGAACGTGACATCGAACCCCTGAGCTTAACGAACCGAATCTAACACTGAACCATGTACCATTCGGATTTTAAAAACCAGTAAACGTACCAACCCACACACGTGACAGCTAAGTTTTTTGTTGCTAAATGTAGCAGAGTGAGGTAGAACCCGGGAGAATGTATTTTTCCGAAGCAAGTCTTACTTTCATCGCGAAAAGTGTTGGTTAGGTGACCACACATCGGATATGTACCCATCTAAGCGTTCTTGCCGCAGCTTCATTCTGCAGTATGTTGACGGTGAGTTATGTGCATAAAACAACGAATAACGCAAGATATCAAGCCTTAATTCCCTGAGGCAATTTGCGCTGTTTTGGTTGTCACAGCCGTCATAGTAATGTCACATTTTGTGTGCCACTATGCCAGCTGGCATAAAATTTTTGTAGTGTTCATGCTGTTTCACTTTCGACCGGCTTTTTGTGTCGCAAAGAAATAGTTTTCATACAGTACAACAGCTGCTTCTGTTCTGAATTTCATATGTGACAACTTCAGCGTCCTTTACCTCTGACAGCTGCCAGCGAACACTGACCGACACCCTGCCAGCGGCAGTTGTCACAGATCACCACGCCCTGCGTCGGTACAGATCTGTTTCGAAATGTGTTGACCACAGACCCGGCCGTGACCCAGCTGTGTCCTCTCCGCGGGCTCGTCAGCCGGCATTCCGGTGGCGAGGCATGCCTCGGGGGCCCGGCGTCCGGGGTCATAAAGAGGCCGGCCTGACGCACGTGGCGGCGCCGACCGCACCGCCGCGCCTCGCACAATAGACCATAAAACGGCCGCGGCGCCTGGGCCAGCGCAGACCAGCCGTGATACCGTGTCGTCGGCGCCGGGCTGAATTCGACGGAAGGTCGCGACGGACGCTCAAACTTGAACCCAGAAAAGGCCCGGCGCAGAGAAACTCATTGGGAGTTATTGACACACCAGTCCGCCAGCGTGACGGAAATGCCCACGCACAGAGAGGGCACCGGAGGAGTTCACTGCACGATGGGTCGCCCGTTCGCCAGGAATACTCCGGCACAGACAGGCTGATGGAGCAGTTTACGGCGCGGGCGGTACATTCTCCAGCACAGAGGTGTCGGAGAAAGTCGGAGATTTTCGTTAGGCCACTGACGTGTATTCAGTTGACACGGGCGTATTTCACCGCAACTTTTCATTGTTTTGGACGCTGCGAGCATCGCTAAAAAAATTTTTGCGTGCTCGCGACCACCATTGGGAGTGGTTTGTAGTGTGTTATTGCTATTATTGCGTTGCAGTCACCGCCGATTACACTGCTCCGCATCGCAGTCGCCAGCAAGTGCTGCGGAACCCAAACTGGCACAGCACCACATTCGCGCAGTCAAAAATGTCCTTTGTCCCACACAATCCAATAACAGTGAGAGCGTTTATTACCACTTTGACCATGTCTGATAGCGCTCCCTTACTCCTGAAGCAGCGATAAACATACTGGAGTCAGCACGGTAATCTCCGTACATTCTGATCTAACTACGGTTCAGATTAAACTGACTAATTCGGTTCTTGCGCACCAAGTGGCTTCAGCTGGCCATCAGAGGCGTTTCTAACCATGATCTAAGGAAATATCAGTGAAAGTAGACGTAATTGGATGTCATCACACCTATAGACAGCAAAGGCAGCATAAAACGCCTGATATACATAATTTACTACAGTGAAGGTGCCTGAACATTCTGTTGTCTACTCGGCCCTTCAAAACTTATGACCGTTATTATCACAAATCGTCACTTGACACATACAGCAGATTTATCTCAAATGCACTCGGCTCACCCGACGCGTCGTGCCTCCTTGTTCTGATAATGCTGCTGGAGAAGCAAAGATCCATGCCAAGGGTTACCAGCGTTTGTAGCTTGTCGCCTCTGCTGTTATGATTCCACTGTTGTTGTTAATTATTCTGTGATGTGCTTTCATGCTGGTCAAAGCATGCACTTTTTAAGCCCTCGTGTTTTGTCCCGCATAGCCCCAACCTCAAAAGACGCTGCGGTCGCCTGAACATTGCAGATCGCTCGGCAAACGTCCGGCTTTGCTGACGACAAAATGGAAACTACATAGACGAAGTGACAATGAACGCTGTCTACAGGGAAAACGGTGTGTGTTACTCACCCGGATGTCTTGAGTCAGTTCCTGTCCGTCTAGAAGAACGATCTTGCACAGATAGTTGTTATTCGCTTTCCGAAAGCAGTTCATATTCAGTGGCAGCAGCCGGCCACAGCCAGGCCGGCCGACGCGTCACGTACACTCTCCGACAGGCGTCCTGAGCAGCGCCAGAGACTGTCTGATGACCGCGACTGCCGGAGACTGCGGGATTCCTCCAGCCGGTTTCCAGCCCTGCAAAAACGGTAGCGTGCCACCAGCGAAAAATCGCCCAGCAGTGAACACTCGTGTCTGAGGCTATGACGCTAGCGTTGCAGTTACCATAGCCAGAAGAGTATCAGTTTAGATCAAAGAGCCCACGCACTCTCACATGCACTCACGTCCATTTATACTCCCAGATGAATGCGTTCCCATTTGCTCTACAGCAACACAGCACAGCCAACTGTTGCTAACTTGCACCTCTTCACTCACACTTGTTACCCTGGCAGTACCCTGGTGCTCCGGAGTACACACCACCTCCATCCACACGCATTCACGCACACACAAACACACATACGCACACACGCACACACGCATTCTTCCTCACATTTCTTCATTCCCTCTCTAATAAAATATACATTCCTTCATCACGTCTTCTAAGGTGGTGATTTGTATGGTCTTAACACAAACTATGGTGTCTTACGCAATGAAACCATTCCCTTTTTAGGAATAGTTTCATAGAAGAGCGTACGTTTCACATACGCTCGATTTAGCCATAGTTATTCTGACATTCTATCGACATCTGTTGCTGAGTTGAATAATTATGTGAAACTTGCTATTAGATCAACTACATAGAAATGAAGCATATTGCCAAAACAAATAAGTCGTTAATGTTTATTTTTGTTGAAATAAATTATTTCTTTAGCTGCATCTTCAAGATACAAACTGTCCCGTCGACAAAAGCATTACAGCATCAGCTTCAGGATGAAGTGAAATGAACGCCCCAGGCCTGCTCTGCGCAGCCATATGTGCTAAGGGAAATGTCTTCTCTAAACAGAAATGTCACCTCAGCTCAACGGCCGACCAAAATGTTTGTTTTTTTTGTAAAACCGTGCAATGTATGTTGGTTCTCTCGCTCCCAGACGATCCTGCCACGACATCCAACGCGCAGGACCGTTTAGAGTATAGCATGTTGGTGCGACCTGCGCAGTCGCCAACCAGGCCACAGGTCCCTGTTGCTTTTTCCGGATGCGCCGCGCATCCGCACTTCCGTCTCGGCGTTACTCCCGCGGCTAGCTCCAGCCCGCCCAGCGACGGCGGGGGGGGGGGGGAGGGGGTGCTGCGAGGGTGCGACCAAACCAACAGGCAAACAGAGCGGCGTGGCCGTCCTTTGTTGGCGCGGTGTGCTCGAGGCCGTGGTACTGATCTGTCGGCGCGCCGAGGCGGCACCGGGGCGGCTCCTCCCTGATCGTATCAGGCGACCGGCAGCTGCCGCCGGTCGCCGTCGGCGGGACTGGCGGCGGCGGCAGAGGCCGGCCGCCCGACCCGCGACGGCCCGGACAGCTGGCCAGCCGGCGTGCAGGGGCGCTACCAGGAGCGCCCGAAGGCGGGCTGTGAGCCGTCATCTAACAAGTAAGCCGTAGCGCTCCACAGATAAGACAATGACGTGAACGGACAGCTATGACTGGAAATAAGAGCAGTCGGCTCGTGCCGATGGCGCCGCCGCCGGTCGCGTGACCCGGCCTCACGCGGCGATGGGCGGGTCCGATACGCCGTGGGCGGACCACCCAGCGGCGCGCACCTCACCACAGTTGGAGGTAGTGCCGTGTCACGCGGCTCGAGCGCGCCCCGGGCCGCTCCAGAGCGCATGTCCGGCTTGACGCATCGCGCAACAACGCGCCGGCCGCGGCGGCACGCCGCCCCCGGCCAGGGGCGCACCCAGGCTCACATCCGGAAGGCGGCACTCGATGGGGCGTAGGGGGACGGGCAGGTACAGATAATAATGGGGGATTCTCGACTGTGATGTGCAACGGCACGCTCTAACGAAGGTAACCTTTACCGGTCCCATCTTCCTACAAAGTGAAGAAGGGAGGCCTTTGAAGCACCTCCAGGTTCCATACGGCCCTGCATCGTGGGGTCATGTTTGGACCTACCCGACCTGTTGAACAGCTCGGTGCTCCCTCAAGGGCCCCCTTCGCGCCGAATACGACAGGAATAACGGCGCTCCGCACACGCCGCCTCGGCGGCCTCGGCGGCTGGCTACCACAACAAGAGGTGTCAGAGACGGCTTAGCCTCTGTACACAGCCGGAGGGCACGGGACGGTGCGGGGGCGGGAGGACGCCGGCTTCAGCAGAGTCAAAGACCTTAGCAGTGAGGCTGGAGCCGGCGCCGGGCTGGGTAGTCCCAGTCTGCTGCAGTCTCGCGACGTTCCGAAAGAATGCCTCTCAGCCAGCCAATGGAAGCGTGCAGGAATGTAAGGGAGAAGTTGTCTCTCACATGACTAGCAAAACTGCATGTCAAGCATGTGACATCGTGTTTCGAGGAGCGGTCACCTCCCCTTCCCAGTTCGCGGCTATTCTCCAATATTCTGTGCCCCCGTCTTCGGCTGACCCTTCTACGTCCCACGCCGGCCGCGGCCCACGCCGGGTCTGGCCGGCCACCTGAGCGGGGGTCCTGGGTCACGCCGGGTCTGGCCGGCCACCTGAGCGGGGGTCCTGGGTCACGCCGGGTCTGGCCGGCCACCTGAGCGGGGGTCCTGGGTCACGCCGGGTCTGGCCGGCCACCGGAGCGGGGGTCCTGGGTCACGCCGGGTCTGGCCGGCCACCTGAGCGGGGGTCCTGGGTCACGACAGCAGCCTCCGCGTCTTGCCCAGCGTCACGCGCGGGACGCACGGGGTCATTCTTCCCGCGCAGAGGGCGGCGGGGCCGCAGCGGGATAGGATCACCGGCCGCTCCTGCAGAGCGGCCCTCGCTGCTACAGCGCGGCGCGGCACGCAGCTGGGGGCGGCCAGAGCTACCTGTGTTTGGAGCTGGAGAGACTGCCGTCACGCGACTGAGACACGATACAAGCGTGGCCTTCAGCTGGCTCTGTGGCTCGCTGTCGGCTCACCTGGCAGAGAGAGATTCGCAGGAAAGGCAGAGCTTCGGCGCGGGATCACCGGCTCGATATTTTCATCCTGAGCACGCTGTCTGCAGCAGCTGTTGCTAGTTCAGCTCCCGCACCATTATGATTGCAAGGCTACGAGGTGGACCGTGCCAGCCGCACCGAGTAGGGAATGATCAGTGTCGCAATCAGCCACCCTGGCCCATTTCATCAGATTCTACTGAGCATCGCGGGCAGACAACTGGCCAGCGCTGGGATCCAGTGGTCGTCCACCGCACGCCCACGGAGCGTGATACAGGGCCCCGCGCCGTGCGCCACAGCGAGCCCCTGCCTCCGCCGCGCCGAGTCTGGCCCAGCTGCGCACCCTGTGAGCCGGGGCCGTGACGACCCCGCCGCCGGACGTCGGCGTCACCAGGCGACGCAGCCTCGCGACCCCGCTGCCGGACGTCGGTGTCACCAGGCGAGGCAGCCTCTCGACCCCGCCGCCGGACGTCAGCGTCACCAGGCGACGCAGCCTCGCGACCCCGCTGCCGGACGTCGGCGTCACCAGGCGACGCAGCCTCTCGACCCCGCCGCCGGACGTCAGCGTCACCAGGCGACGCAGCCTCGCGACCCCGCCGCCGGACGTCGGCGTCACCAGGCGACGCAGCCTCGCGACCCCGCTGCCGGACGTCGGTGTCACCAGGCGACGCAGCCTCTCGACCCCGCCGCCGGACGTCAGCGTCACCAGGCGACGCAGCCTCGCGGCGCTGCGCCGGCCAGCTCGGCCAGGGCCGTGTGAGCAGCCCGGCACGCCACCGCACACATGCCAGCTCAGGATGCAGCTGATTTGCGTGTGATATGTTTATCCGAGGTGGATTAGGGACGGGCAGGGGAGTGGCGACTACTTCCCGACCCAGCTACGACACAACTTAAAACATGCACAGATTGCTGTGTGGAAAGAACCGAGACCAACTGTAATTGTAGCACCTCAACCTTTTGAGAGTTTTTAGCCCCACTGAAATACAGAACCGAAGACCACCGGAGCGGTGAAAACGTGTGACCCCCACCAAGAGCCCTCTATTGCATTCGTCAGTGAGGCTTCATGGGGGCACTACATGTGGCGTGCTTGACAAACTGTCGAGTATTATAGAGCAGCGCTCTCCATTAGTGGCCACAGTTTTTGAGAGTTATTTCAAAGGAATGCCGTCAGGCACAGCTGCAGATGGAGTGCTTCAAAGGCAGTGAATGGCAGACTATTCTATCTCTATCTCTATCTCCCTCTCTCCCTCTCCCTCTCCCTCCCCCCCCCCCCCCCCCCCTCTCTCTCTCTCTCTCTCTCTCTCTCTCTCTCTCTCTCTCTCTCTCTCTCTCTCTCTCTCTCTCTCTCTCTCTCCTCTCTCTCTCTCTCTCTCTCTCTCTCTCTCTCTCTCTCTCTCTCTCTCTCTCTCTCTCTCTCTCTCTCTCTCTCTCTCTCTCTCTCTCTCTCTCTCTCTCTCTCTCTCTCTCTCTCTCTCTCTCTCTCTCTCTCTTTCTCGTCTATCTCTCGACTCTATCTCTCGCATATTTAATTTTAAGACAACTTTGAATGCTACCTGACGGATGGTGGTTTGTTGAAGGGACTGAGGTGGCCAAAAAATGCCAGCTAAATGTACAGATGTACAGAATCACGGCATGCTCCACTGATTTATACGTCACTCCTCTTTTATTTCATTCATTTGACTTCTGCGCCTCTTCTTGCATTTGATTCAGTTCATTGTGATTCATATCAAGGTTATGTGCATAGGCGGCAATGTTTGAGGTGTTAGATGCTTTTTGGAGTTGGAAAACTCCGAATTGAATAAAGATTTTCTGTTTTTTCTAGTACAGACGGCATTTAAAAAGCTGGTCTGGAGGACACAACCACTAAATTGGTCTCACTATCCATCAGCATCACAGCATGATCCCAGCAGCTGCTGAGAGCGGTAGCTGCTGAGAGTGGTTTAACTCAGCCCTCACACGTCAGGACGAATCAGTGTCAATCAGTACCAGTATGTTATCGTGATCAGGATCAGCAGCATCTAAATGCCTTTCTGAACTTTCGACTTCCAGCATGCGCCCACGCATTTCACAGCAAATCCAGCTTAAATTTTCGTCAGGCGCATGACAGAGCCGTTTCCTCGAATCTCCTTCACGATTCTTCAGACAAGACTGCAGATTGGGAGACTCCTTGAGGTTCCTGCTTATCAAGCACCCCTGTCCGTGCGCCAGACAAACCGTTAAACCAACAACGGCCGGGGTCAGTCATTCGCACAGCACGCCTAATTTAGCCGGACCACGGAGGTCATCAGAAGCGCCAGTCACCGGCACGAGCGGGCAGGGTCACGACCTTTCCCACTCGCCTCTCACCACTGACCACTGATTAACCGGGTTAGAGAGCCGACCGCGACCCCGGACTGGGCATCTACATTACACACTGATACTAACTTAACAAACTCGTTAAGAAAGCTTTGTCACGCACTTGGAACATTCAGCGGGTCATATATGGGTCCACCCGTCCACCTGAAAAACGCTCTCCTAGTTTTTTGGTGGCGGTTTGCCTGCTCATATGATGGTCCACTGATGAGAGAGAAAGAGAGAGAGAGAGAGAGAGGAAGGAGAGAGAGGAGAGAGGAGATGAGGAGAGGAGAGAGATGAAGATAGAGAGAGAGAGAGAGAGAGAGAGAGAGAGAGAGAGAGAGAGAGGAGAGGAGAGAGAGAGAGAGAGAGGAGAGAGAGAGAGAGAGAGAGAGAGAGAGGAGAGAGAGAGAGAGAGGAGAGAGAGGAGAGAGAGAGAGAGAGAGAGAGAGAGAGGAGAGGAGAGGAGAGAGAGAGAGAGAGAGAGAGAGAGAGAGAGAGAGAACGCTGCAAGCAGGACGTGCAGAACGACGTGCGGAACAATGACAAAGAGCATAGGTCTCAGCGACGGATTTCTTCTGGTCTGACTGTATGTTTCCGGGTTAGCGCTCAAACCGGCATTTAGGCCCATACAAATTAGTGTCATCCATTTAAAGTACAAATCTGACTCACTGTTCAACGCTATGATCCTTTGCTTTACACCTAGTTCTCCCCTCCATCCCTGCTCAGCCGCGTCTTACCTTTCACCCTTTGTCGCCGGTTGCCCCTTAGTCACCCGGCGAAGCTTCCTTCACGTGCGACCATCAGCTGTTTGCTGACGACTATCGCGGCTGGCTGGTGGCGACGACGGCAGTGAGCCCGCGCTACCGGCCACCCAAATCGCCGCGGGGCAAGCCGGCCTGGCCCAACGGCGACATCTGTTGAATAAAAAATCAAGCTAAATATTGGTTAACGGCCGGGAGTGGTTGATGGGATATGCGGCTTTAGAACGAAAGTGGATGTGGAAAATGTGTCTGTGTACGAAGTGTGTACGTAATTATGCGTAAGCAAATGTGCGTCAGATAGGAAATTTGTACGGTTACTTACGTACGCAAAAATTCTTACGCAAAAGCCCGTACGCAAAAAATCGTAAGCATATGTTCGTAACGTAGAGAATATGTAGGGGAGAGTGGGCGAGCGGCATGATGCCAAGTAGTATGAACATTATTGTAGGAACAGGGGGCCAAGAGGGCCATGCCCCCCCCCCCCACACACATATTTTTCAAAATCGGAGCCGGCAATGTTAACTGCTCTCCCTTTTTCAGGTTTAAGTTGCGTTTGGCTTACCTTTATACTGCCTTAAACATGCACGCCCATTCACCAAGTTCACTATCCATATTCCCCAAAATGCGTTCACTTTTTCGCTTGCCATTGGTCATCGCTTAGTTTCACAGCCGCGGGGCCGACGGCGCGCGGCCTGGGAAGACTGCAACGCCGGGCGTGGAGGCGTTGTTGCTAAGATTTCCAAGCACACACGTTCAAAACCATGTTGCATAGTTTGTCTCAGTGATGAATCCTGACTGAATGTTGAATATTCTAAGACGAACATGGGTTAGTTATGTCAATACAAATTTGGGGGCCCATTTCGATCTACAATCTACGCCTGGGGTCCTCAATATCTCCGAAGAGCGCATAAAAAATCTGAAACTAAAATATATGTGACAACTATTGGACCACATGCGGCGATCAGGGATCTCGTCGCGTCAGTAAGGGTATTGATAGGTAAGTAAGGGTATTGATCCAGGGCCAACTGCGTGGATCAGAAGACCTTCCGCGTCAGGGAGGAGAGCAATGTGATATGAGTTATTTATACCTCTTAGGGCTTTCGGATCAACCAGGGAATCCTGCCTCGTGTTGCAAGAAAAGCAGCTGAAAGATACCCCGAGAGAGGATGGAATGGCACCTTAGTCCTTGACCAGGATTAGTGACGTTTCTCCAGTGTTTTCCTTAAGGGACCCTTGCCCGGAAGGAAATCATGGGCCTCATTATTGTTGAATGGAATGGGTCAAAATTAGTTCAAAAACGAACAAAACCATCCCATCTTTGCCTGAGAACGTTCATTCTTTTTACAAAATCAATTAGTAAAACAAATCACATCAAAAGACTTGAAAATGCGAGCCCGTGATCTCAGGAGGAAGGACAGCTGTGGCCTGGGTTACAATTTCCGTAAAAGCGAACGACGCTGGCCACTGCAACTAACACCAGGCGGCGTGCGCCGTGTTAAGCCGTCGTCCGTGCAGATGAACAGTCACAGCAACACGAAAAATAGAGATTTTTTCCTTACACTTTCAGTTCTAACACCAGATTTCAGCACCACTTAGCGGTGCGTGAGGGTGCGTGATTTTAGAAGCGTCATTACTTTCGTCCACCTGTTGGGCACGGCTCAGTGTTAGCCTGTGTCAACGCTGCGCGGCCCACGGAGACTGCAACGCCTGAAGTTGAGGTTTTTGTTGCTAAGATTTGTAAGCGTGATTGTTCCAAACACGGTACAAAATTTATATCACTAACCGATTCGGAATGAATGCTGAAGATTTCCAAACATCGTTCGTCCATGTTAATACACATTTGTAGACCTATTTCGACATACAATCTACGTTCGCGGGATCCTTGATATATTCGTGAAATCCAGATAAAATTCTGACAAAGCTTCTAAATGTCATCGGTTTATAAATCAACCAAAGAGCTATTGTAAAGAATAAGCGCCGGTGATGTTTTCCATTTAATCATTGAACATCTGATGGGTCTTGCGGTAGCATCTGGTTTTTGTTTCCGTTCTGGTTTCCAGACAAAAATAGCCATAAAACGAGGAAAACAGCGTCCCTTGTTAAAAAATAAGCCATATCCGGAGATTTTTCTTTGGGGGGGAGGGATGTCACCTTCAGGGTGGCTTTTGTCAGCGATGTACCTCCACCCAACTATTGGTAAGGCTGTGGTTGCGTCCCGGCCTGCCTACAAAGGCAGATAAACTCGGCTCATTTGAATGCGGGGCAACTGAATGCCCGTTGGATCAATTAATACCAAAAGCAGGCAGCTTCCCGAAAGCTCTTGTCTGCGGTTTTGTGGTGTAAGGAAACATAATTCGCAAAAATGGTCAGCTGCAGGTGTCAAATGTACCTTTATACACTAATAAGTAGCAATGCTGGTCCATAAATATGCAGCAAAGCAGTCATACAATAAGTAAGCCGTGAGTCATGCGAAGGCCATCCGAGCCAGGGTAGTGGCCGCCAACGGTGGGCGGAAGCAGTGCTCAGATGAGGAATATATGATTGAAGGGCCTTCATTCTGTGACTCGTTTTTACAAGAGAAACTCCAGTTTTATGGATTTTGTCGCATTGTTTTTGGCATTTAGTACTTGAAGCTTCCGAGTTTGTTTCCGCCTAATAAAATGTGACCAATCTTGAAAAGCCACCGGCTAAGTTAAGGCGCATGAAAATTTTGACGCACTATGTGCCATCGATTCGCATTCAAAATTCTGACCAGCTTACGTCCGGGCCGTGTTTTGACATCTACCCTGGGGAGGCGGAGGCCTCATCAATTGCCCAAAATGCCTTCCCGCTCGTAAAATTTTGCCTCCCAGTGAAAGCAACGTTGAAAAGGACGAATAATTTTGGGAGGCAAGATCATGCACCAATGAAAAGCAGCTGTACATGTATGCCTGGCATAGCAGCCATAACATTTAATTATTCCAAAATATGTTAAGTATAGACCGAGAGCGGATGAAAACCATTATCTCTAGCCTCCCCCCCCCCCCCTTTCCCCGGTCACTGGGCCTGCTTTCCAGAAAAAGTTTCTGAAGTATACCCTGAGCCTGGCCCAGTTTTAAAACGTTTTTACGCATATGAGCACAAAGGTGATTTATTCAAAATCCATGCGATGAATGGCAGTGTGCAGTCGCTAAGCTGACGTATAGCGGACTCCTCTGGATTTTAGTGTATTTCCGGCCGCATGCGTGCACGCGTCTTTGGAATAAGCGCGAGAGCAGTGTTTTTCGCATCTGGCTGAAAACTATAGCGATCGGTGTAAATGTGTGTTTAAGGACTTACGTCATAACTACACCAATATAAATGCTGTACTGAGTGGTGGGGCAGTACATGTGTCGTATATACTGCAAAACATTTGGCTCCGCGAGTCACCTATTTCGGGGTAGTGCGCACTTTTCCAAGGTGTCGGACGGTGCATGTTGTATCACTTGTGCATGGGGCACATTGTATCAGGGATACAATGCATTGACACTAGTCATTGAACGACCTGCTGTCAATGATTGGCTGTTATGTTTTCCTTCACTTATCGTCATCCCGTAGACAAGTTGATGTTTACATTACTCATGTAGACCCATGATTTCTACCTGAGCAACCGGAAACTGAGGTGACGGCCGACGCAGAGCAAACACTGATTGATAGGAAGGGTGAAAATAGGTCGTATCTCAATAGGAGTAATTGCAAAACAGCACAGACCAACGCATTTGCCCGACTTGTAACATATTTAGCTTGCTGGCGGTGCAGTTTGCTCTTTGAATAACTTTCCCACAAGCACTATCGCCCTCCGACGTGGCACAATTTACCCCAGGTTACCCAGAGTCATTTGCCAAAAAGCGAAGATGTGCTCTCCAAAAGTTTATCACGACATATAAAGCTGAAGGTTATAGCTTTCTGCAGATATAATATAACAAGCTTACTCCTGTTCTCACTTATTATAGCAGGAGGACAGCAAAGCAAAAACTGATACAACTCTCCATACTCCCTCCCCCCCCCCCCGCCGCCACTATGGCATAAAGTATGGATGGAAAACGCTCATGCTGACGTAAGTCGGTCAGGTCAAAAGCTCATCTGGAAAAGTGCTTACGCATAAAGCACATACGCGATTTTTCGTAACCAATTGAAGATATGCAAATGCTCGTCGCGGATAATGTTGGTTTGGCAAAAGGACGCACACAAAAGTTCGTGAGAAGCATAAGCAAAGGGACTGGACCGTGTGTGCACCCCCACTTTTCGGGCAAGCTGGACCTTAGTTAGTCACAATACTTGACACTGCATATCCCAATGTCACTGTCCACCACCCTCTCCTACCCCCTGCTCTCCCCAGTCGATGGAGTATGGTGACCCCGCAGTGACCGTGAACACGCGCGCGGGTGGCCGGCTGGATTCCCTTCGCTCGGGTGGGGGTCACTTTGACCACACACACACACACACACACTCTGAGATCTCGGAAACTAAGAAAGCTAGAGACGCCAAATTTACCGAGTGTCTCGACCTGTACGTGAACTTACTTAGGTCAAAGTTTAAGCTTTATAGGTCACGACCTTCAGGTCAAATAAGATTAAACAAGGTCAAATTCCAGGTTGGTCTCTCAAGTGCCCCAGAACCTAGGCAACGGTTTCTAAGCAAAAGTTCACAAGCCCATTTGAGGTCAGTGACCTTGTTTGACCTTTTGAAGGTCATGGTGACCAAAACCATACAAGACTGCTCTGAGTTTTGCATTTGAATAACCGACAAAGATAACGCTAGGCAATATGTTCCTAAAACAGAATGTCGACCCGGGTCATCTTAGGCCAATGACCTGTTCTGACCTTTAAGAAGTCAATGGAAAGTTATAGTGTGGTTCCTATCAATAAATTCGAAACGAGCACCACAAACTATTGCATAGAGCAAGCCCTAGAGCAGTAAATCCGGTTGGTTTTGACCTTGGTCTGACCTTCATACCTCACCTAAGGCCAACTTAATTTGCTCATTCAATATTTGTGGTGCTTGGGAAAGCATCTCAAAGATGTATGGCTTCG